AGAAAAAACCCCTAAACTTACTATTTAAAATAAATAAATGATTTTTTAAGCCAGTCTCATGATCTTTGAATTCTTGGCATTGGCAATACTGATGACATGTATCCAAGAGGTAACATATTTTTAGATAGTTGCCTGGGACCCAAGAGACTAATTCCTTTGCTGCGTTTGTTTAGGTGTTGAAGACAGGGGAGAGGACAACCAATATCAAGGGCAACGTGAAAGCTTGAGGAAAAAGGGAGAATGCATTGTCTGGTGGTTAGAAAATGGGAATGAGTCATGTTCTGAGGTGTGTTCACTGCATCACTGCGATTTTTCTGTATGACCTGTTGCAAGCAACATTGGCAATAGCTTTGAGCAGTCAAAACATAATAAGGGTGGGAGTTGCCTTTGTGCCTTTGAAAATCCTCTCCTAAGTTACTTGCCAGAGTGGGGGAATCTCGGTTACAGTTTTAGGTGAAGTACTTTGAAGAGACATGCCGTTTGGTGCATTCCAAAGGCAAGCAGAATCCAACATTATTCACATATATTGTATTTAATAGCAACATATTGGCAATTGAATTTCTCATTAATAATAATACTTTAAAATGAAATTTGCTTGTTTCCTTTGTTTTTCTTACACTTGTCTTCTCACTCCACTTTCTGCTTCTTTTCTATTGGATCATAGACCATGGTATATTTTTTCTGCCTGTTACCTTTTTCCTTCCCTCAGCCATGTGAGTTCTATCCTGACATTGTGCTCTCTCCCTATTTCCCTATATTTTTGTCTCCCACTTTCCCCTCCAATCTCACTCCTGCCCATCTTCTTCTTTTCTCTTCTAATGTACCCCTCAATCTCTCACCTATCCATCCATCTGCATCCTAGGTCACTCACAGTCCTCCCACATCTTCATCCATTTGTTCACCAACACCTACCCCTCCTCAGATGTACCTATTCTTCTAGTGCCTCATATAGGGCTCCTCACTCTTGCAGCAACATGCGGCAGGAGGATGGCAATTGTGCTAGTCAGCACAAGCAGGCCCTAAAGTCCAGAAAAATGACAGACCTACTAAGGGAATTTCCTGGACTACCAGGCAACCATCCAGGTCTTAGGGCAAGTCACCTGCAGCCAGATTTTCAAGAGTGCTTTCTCATTTTGGATGCCTCAGCTTTCTGGTGTCCAGCCTGAGATGCCTTAAAATGGCGCAGTTTTCTGCAAGTGCTGAGCTTCCACTCTCTCAGAACTAGGCCCCTCCGCATGGTAGCACGTAAAGTCACTAGTCACTTGCCAGCTACAGGTCCTGTGTTTTAGAGTTGCTATGTGCTTGCCACTCCCATTGACTTCATTTGGAGTTGTGGGTGTTCAGCATCTCTGAAGAAAAAAAAAAAAAATTCTAGTCCGTAACTCTGGCCCCAATTTTCAAAAAGATGAATTGGGGCACAGATCCTACTTCCCGATCTTTAGGGGGTGGTGGTTTGTAAGGCCCCTTTAAACCCTCAGATAAGCATAGCTGTAGCAGTGCAGAGAACATGAGCAATTTCTTTCAGTCCTGACTGTAGAAGCGTAGTTCACAACATTGAGAGAGTATTCTAGAGCTGTTTATAGTTAGTAGACAAGGTTTCAGGAGATGGCACTCAAGAATATGTAGCATAATTACTGGGGTTTGCAGGACTGATAAAACTTTTAGTGTTCAGCCAATGGTTACCTCTGTGCAGCTCTTAATGCGTGAACTGTGGAGCTGAGGTTACATTGAACTGGTGCTAAATCATGTGAGGACACTTCCGGTTGGAGTATGTTAAGTAAAGCCCCCACCCCCGAAAGGAAAGGGCAAGTTCAGGAAGCACACAGAATTGGTGTCTCAGAGTGCAAACTGTTAATGCTTGCTGTGATGCAGAGTGAAACCGCTTCTGTATTTTAATATACCTGTAACTTGTCTAACGATTGTGTTTAAAGAGCTTGCCTTGCCGTCTGCTAGTTGCTGCTCTGATTTTATTTTGCTGTGTGTCTTTGGTAAGCAGGCCATTTTATTTAAAGGGCAGTTCTTTTAAAAAGAACAAGAGGTTTCTTTTAATTAGAACAAGCTCTGCACTCTTGAGCCCGGATATTCCGCTTGCAACACTATTCAGATTTGCATCCCATTTTCCCTCCATTGGTCGCAGGCTAGAATGAAAAGCACTAACCCATTAATACTGTGAACCTCTCCAAAGAATATTTGACACAAGCCCTTTCTGGGTCTCAGCGTTCCAATTGTGTGTGGGAAGGACAATTCCCTTCAGCATGTCCCTTTGATCTCTCTTACTGAGGATTTCCCCTCCAGGCCTATTGTTTGCACATTGCTGTAACTACAGGCAAACAAATACTTTAGACAATTTCCCAGACTGACTCACCCCTGCACTTGATGCGTCATGTTGTCTGGTTACCCTGATTGCATCACATCAGCATGGGAAGCTTAAAGGCTGGTTTTTCTGAGTAATAATATTGCAGGACAGCAGTAACTTATTATTATTGCCATTATCTTCAACCTGCAACCCACAAAAGAGAAAAATCAAGCAAGCTACACAGCTATTAAGTAAACCATTTGTGAATCATAGGCTGGAGGCAGGAGGCATTGTTAAATCATGCGGTGTGTTAACATAAAAGCCTTGTACCTCTGGAACCTTAGAATCAGTATTGGCCTACGTCACAAGTGAACACAAGTGTAGCGTTCTCTCATCTGTGTTTCCTGTGGACAGGGCCGGTGCTTCCATTTAGGCAACTAGGGCACCAGGATTTGGGGGGGGCGGCATTTTGCCGCCCTTGGCGGCAATTCGGTGGTGGGGCGTCCTTCCGCGCTCTGAGTCTTCGGCGGCAATTCTGTGGCGGGTCCTTCATTCGCTCCGGCACCCGCCGCCGAAGTGCCCCGAAGAACGGAAGCGCGGAAAGACTCCCCCGCCGCAGAATTGCCGCCGCTGACCGGGAGCACAGAAGGACCCATGCCTAGGGCGCCAAAAACCCTGGCGTCGCTCCTGCCTGTGGAACATGTTGTGTCTTAACTTTGATATTACTTACACCCTAAGGCAGTCTCACATTTGTGTAATTGATTTACACATATTGTGATCCCCTCTACACAGGCAAGAAACAGCTTTGTAGCCCAGTCCCCCAACAAGTTAGATTGTGATGTATGGACGGAGCCTAAAGCCTGGATTTTCCATAAGCAAAAACGTTTAAAAGAACAAAAGGTTGTTTAGGTGACATCTTCCCAATTCCCCTCCCCCACCCCTTGCCAGCCCTCAACAGCAAGGAAATGCCAAGTTATGGGATATATCTGAACTGCACCCAATACCTACAAGCAGCACACTTCCACGGGGAGCAAAAGACTCTGCATCTTCACAAGGAATTTCCTTCTGCCTCCCGCTGATAAGATCTCCCTCACATATAATATGTAATATTAGTGAGAGCCTCAGCAACATTTGTAAATATTCCACATTAGCACATGCAGAGGTTAAGAGTGTTGTGTGTTTGTGGGGGGAAATATGAAATTGTACTTCCATAGGCATTTGGTGATGTGGTCATTTGTCCTTCCGGGACTGGAATTGGATATTTAATTTCATATAAGCTACTAAACAGCTATGACACTTCTATTATTCACACCAGTGACTTAGATTAAAGCTATTACTGTATAGCTTGACCGATCTAGGTTGGAAGGATAGCCATGTGGTCAAGACACTGGAACGGGACTCAAGTGAATGAGGTTCAATTTCCTGCTCTGCTAGACTCTTATCTGGGGCAAGTCATTGCATTTTTTTGATGCCTCAGTTTCCCAATTGTAAAACATGAAGGATAATATTATTTCCCTACCACACGGTAAAATTCATATACTTTTTTGAGGCTTTGGGGGCCATATAAATCCTCTTATTTTAGATTTTTGTATCACATGATGTTCCAGGCAAACAAGGGGCCCTGCGTGAACTAAAGAAGTTAAAAAAAGTTTGTACTGATAAGTCTATAAAACAGATTAATCTGGCCCTCCCCAGGCTTATGGGACACAATAAAAGAACTTTCCTTATCCCTTTACAAGGTTTTTCTTTACTCAAAAAGCTATAGTTACTCTCCAACATCTGCACATTGCAAAATATGAAAGAGTCTCCTACAGGGCTTGTCCAGACACCACCTTGCTGTTCCCATCCTTCTTGTAAAGAAAGACTTTTTCCTTTTGGAGGTAGCTAAACCATTACCCAATTTTCTTGTTATCATCCAAGTTACTTCTTTGCATTGGCTTCTGATGAAAGAGATCCATTCCTTTTTAGAACCTTTGTAATCCTTGTAATTTACCAGATTTTCAGTTGCAGCTCATCTCAGTGGTAAATTGTTGAAGACCCAGAATGATTACCACAGCCCCATCTGAGACCTTGAAGTATTCTCCAATTCTGATTAGTTTTGATTTCTTGTTCTCAATTTCTGGTCCAAAATAATCGGAGTGTGTCTGTTTATTTAGCTTTTAAACAATAGATTGAAAGGACATTACCTCACAAGGTAATGCTGTGTTGTGATCCTTATTCAACTGTATGTAGCCTCAACAGAGCAGATTTTTAAAGACTTTATATATGTTACTGTTTGCAAAAGGCACACAACCATGCTCCAATTTGCTTGCACCATTGCCATGATTATTTCCAACAGTCAGGTTATTATGCACGGAAAAGGATAATTAGGTGTATTTGCATGCCCAATTACCAAGTTTCATATGCAAACACAATAACTGTTCACATATTTGCCTGGAAAACATTTTTAAAATTACATTAGTAGGATTAGCTGTAATAGTACAGCAATATGTACGCTCCAAACCACATTAATGCTACTTTAATCCATCCTCCCATTGTTCAGGAAAGAAGGCATTTAGGTTGGCATTGTTATCTATCTGTGACATAACTTGTGTATTGTGATAAAGGCTACCAATTGTGTTGCTTAAAGTACTAACTTGAATGGCTATTTACATTAAGTTATTTCCATCTGAAAATCCAAGTAACTGTTTCTTTTTTTCTTCAGGGATTCAGATTTGTTCCTGCTTGACACTCGAATAATCTGGGCTGCAGAGGAAGGTTGGCTGGTGTTTGATATTACAGCAACCAGTAATCACTGGGTGGTAAACCCACAACACAATCTCGGCCTGCAGCTATCAGTTGAGAGTATAGATGGTAAGTTTCAGAGAGTAAATGTCATCAAAAAGTCTCAATTTTGGCTGTAGGAATCCAGTCAGGATTAGTCTGAATGCAACCAGTAGTCATTCCTCTGAGTGGGATTTCTCAAGATTGTCTTGAATTTTCTTAAACTGCAGATGTTGGAAAAGTATTACAAAATTACAATATTAGCCTATCACGCTAGATTTGAACATATCTAAATAATCACCACCTGATTTCAAGACAGTCATACATCTGTGTCCGAATCCAGTAAAACCATAAGCACATGCTTAGCTTTAAGCATCTCAAAAGAAACTATTAAGATGCTCAAAGTTAAGCATCTGCTTCAGTGGATCTGAGCCCTAATTTGCACACACACATTTACCATGATTGTATGTGCAATCTAGTAACTATGCACATGACTAATATGCACATGTATTTACTTCATTTGTACTTGAAGTCCTGCAAACTACACATAAAAATTGGCCATTCTTTTGGCTCAACCAAACTTATAAATACTCTGGCCCTAGTGGTTCACTGTTTAACATTGATTGGGTTTTCTTTTTCTTTCCCCCCCCCCCCCTCCCCATTTATTTAATACTTTTTCCAATGGTCTCTCTATGGGTGGGGAAGGAAATGTCAGGAAAGTCTTAATTGCTGAGTTTCTCCAATTATATTACATTAGAAAGTGAGAAAAAAAAACTGTACAGGCTAAATCCTCAGCTGATGGATCTAGTCCATGTTTTCTCTTTAACACTAGGTAGGAATCATTAAGGCATGGCCTCCTTCCCCACACACAGAGACACCATTGTCCTCTTCCATTTAGCAAATGATTTTCTCCATCTCTCCCTAGCTGCAATAGTCCCAAACTGGAGCATCTGAAATGCTGGTCGTGGTGACTGTAGCAAGCACTCAAGTGAATCAAAGGAAGTTATTCGGCACACAGCTTCCTCCCTGGTCCTCTCTGTGCGGCTCCTCCCTACCCAGGCCTTTTTTCTTTGCTCTGTGCTGTCTCTTTTCCGCCTCCTCTCCCTCCCCCCAACACATCTCTAGATTTGCATGTCTAGTCTGCTGAGAAGAAAATGCTTTCACATAAACAGTCCAATCCGTTTTTAACAGTGAAACATGAGGAATGGCTTGACACACTATGTACTCCAAGTTCTTCAGCCAGCTTGTGATGCAAGCCCATGAGAGTTAGAAATGGGGTGTATCAGAGATACAAATTGGTCTGACCTTGGATCTGATTTAATAGGGCAATGTCTTTGTTCATTTGGTACAATTGACTGTGGCCTCCTTCTCAATCAGCTTTCATAGTTTGCTTGAGTCTCAAAAATCTTTGCTCTCTATGAACAGGGAGAATTAATCCAACCAGAAATTTAAAAGATTTCAATTGCTTAAGTTACCATGAATGCCTGTGATACTAGAAAATACAAGCCCTGTATCCTGGGGCAGAATGGATCACTTTGTCTTTATCTTCTGATTATGTTGCTAGGTGCTTAGCCGTTGCAGTCTAGAAATATTTTCCGGGCTCTGTGTGTATTCCATGTGGAGTAAATCATGGCTATAGGAAGTAGTAAAACCTTGGTAGAGTGAGCATAGAAGGGAGTATTAGGACTTACATAAGTTGTGACTGTGTAAGCAATAAGTCTGAATATAGTATAACTAAATTATTTACAATAACAACTTATTGCCTTAAACACTAGAAATGTGCATAGCATTTTATAAACAGATATTATGCTCTTAGGCCTATGGAATAAACAGCAGATAAGATCATAGCAGTTGCAGTAAGGGAACAGATGATTAGGACATCTTGCCCAGACTTTCAGAATCCTGAATGCAAAAGAGTGCCACAACTGTGCATGCATTTATGGTAATTGCTCAGACAAAGCAGGTAGGTAGACAGTTAGAACTGCACCCTTATACAAACCTGTCAGAGAAAAAGCTTGGGGAGAGATTTTCAAAGGCCTAGAATGACAATGTGGGGGCCTAACTCCCATCAACTTTCAATGAGAGTTAGACACCTAAATGCCAGTTGTGTCTTTGAAAAATCTCTCCCTTACTTTACAAATAGGCTTGTTTTTGGTTTAACACACACACACAAAGTAACTCCAGGACTGAATTTGGCTGCTTGCATTTTAAAAATTAAACCTATAAGTGGCACAAATCTTTGCAGTCTCACTTCACCAGAATTCAAGCAAACATTTTCTTCCATTTTGAGCTGCAAGGGTAAGTCCCACCAAGCCCAAGTTTAATTTGGGGTTCAAACAAACTGTGCACTCCTAGCAAAGCTGCAGTTTCACCTGGTTGTCATGTCACAATTCTGAAGACTAGCAAACATAGCATGACTTTGATGCAAAACTATAGATTTTTGAAGTAGCAAACCTTTCAGTGGATATGGCCTGAGTTTAAAGTGTGTAATGAAACTGAAAACCTGGCAAGTTTTGTCTAGAATTTGTACCAGTTATTTTGTGTGTGTCTCTCTATACGTGAATAAAATGCAACCAGGATAGAAGGGAAGAGTCAAAAGTACTGTCCGGATAGAAAGATACAAAACAGATTAGTTCATTTATCTGCTCTTCATATTCCTTTACGATCATGCCAGATAAGTCCATCAACAATAGCAACTTGTGGGGAATTAAAGGATGTTTGTTTACGCTTAGAAAGTTGGGATAAGCTCAAACAACAAGCTAGAGAAACACTAACATGATTCATTAGCCTTAGGCATCCTGTCACCCTAAGCTCTGAAATGCTTCACGCCCTCATAATACATAGGAACAACAGCTGACTATTTAGCCTATTACTTATTGCTTCATAGCCCTTTTTCCCTCAGTTTAAAAAAAAAGTAGCTTCTTAAAGACAAATAGTCTGCAGCTCTATTTTGTGTTAGATAAGTACATAATTGGTTAATTAGGAATAGACAGATATCTTAAACATTTCTTTCCTTGAAATCTGGTCCCTGGCTGTAGGTGGAGGTTGAAATACTTAGTTCTACTCACTTAAGTGAGTGTGTGTGTGTGTGTGGGGGGGGGGGTCGGGGGGGTTCTCCCCACAAGTTTAATGAATAAGGAACACAATAGCTCTCTGGTATGGGTCTTAATCAGAACATTTTTTAAATAGGGCATAAAGCAAAAAAGTTGTACTCAGAGAGAGAGAGAGAGAGAGAGAGAGAGATTTGCTATAGCAAAAGTAACTTTCTTTCTGTCATCAAAAAACTCAAGCCTCTCCCTAAATTGATGCATTGGCCAAATTCTGCTCTCCGTTACCCTCATGTAAACCCATCGAATCAACTAGGAGTGATCTAGGGCAGTGGTTCTCAACCTATTTACCATTGTGGACCACATATGCAGCCCACGATGTGTTATGTGGGCCGCGTCCAGTACTAGGTGTATGGCCCTGAGGATGTCACATGGGCCACAGCTCCGTGCTGATAGGGCTGCAAGCGGCCTGTGGGCCCAGGGCCGGCTCTAGGCACCAGCAAAACAAGCTGTTGCTTGGGGCGGCACATTTTTAGGGGCGGCATGGCTGGCGCCAGAATGCCGCCCCTAAAAATGTGCCCCGGCCGCCCTAGCTCACCTCCCCTGCTGCTGCCGCTCGCGCGCCGCTACTCGCCCTCCCTCCCAGGCTCTCAAACCTGGAAGGGAGGGGGAGAAGCGGCGCCCGCGCCACGGCCACTCGGAGTCTCCCCCTCCCTCCCAGGCTCTCAAACCTGGGAGGGAGGGGGAGACTCCGAGTGGCCGCGGCGCGGGTGTTATGCTTATACAAAGCACACGGGATCTTTATAGAGGAAGGTAAATACACAGCATTTATTGAGAATACTACAGTTAGCATATGCTTTTTAGACACACACACACACACACACACACACACACAGTCCTGCAGTGATGTTTATAGTTACCAGTCCAGAGTCTGGATCAATCTAGTGGCCAGCCAGATTGGTCGCAGAGGGGAGCGAGGCTCTATCGGTCGCGATCCGATGCTCCTGGAGTGTGGCAAGACGAACCCAAAGTCCTATGGCAAAGCACCCTGTTCTTATAGGTTTTCTTCTCTGTTGAAGCCTATGGATTTTGCTGTGTCACTTTGTGACCGGTTACTTCTTAATTGGTGTAAACATTCCAATACACCTCCGAGGGGGTCATCCTGTCCTTTGTTCCCGATTTAATCAATTGTCTTTAGGGGTGCCAGCCTCTACCTCAGGGTCGTCAATCTGCCCTTCATTATGGATGCGTGTTGATGATTCTTTGATGTTCTTTAAGTTTCTTCACTCCTCCTTCCTTGACTCTGGCTATAACAATGGCCTTCACACCTTATCTTTTCCTGATGCATACATTCCTCATTCACACAAACAGTCTGAGAATACAAACAGTAGTATTTTATATTGAGCAAAAGGGCATTGCAAATTAAACCTTGCTAAGTTTTACAATCAATAACCAAGACAATTTACATTGAGACCCAGGCCTTCAATGTTCCTCTAATCTACTTAACATAGACACAATAGAGAATCCTGTCTCTTACTTCCTAATTTGTAATACATATAGGAAACCATAGTAGCTTTATAACTTATTCTAAAACAAAAGGATGACCATAATTAGTCATAAGGATTGTTCTGGTCTGTCATTCCTTTCTGCTATTCAAAAAGGGTGGCTGACAAGATGAAATCAAATCATACATTAATTCTCATAGTACATTGTAAAATCCAGCTCCTACACGGGTGCCGCTTCTCCCCCTCCCAGGCTTGAGAGCCTGGGGGGAGGAGGCAGGGCTGGGGATTTGGGGAAGGGGCGGAGTTGAGGCGGGGCCGGGGGTAGGGTAATTAAAAAATGGGGGGGGGGCGGCCAAAATTGTTTTTGCTTTGGGCAGCAAAAATCCGAGAGCCGGCCCTGTGTGGGCCAGAGGTTGAGAACCACTGATCTAGGGTCACTACCTGCAAGCTGCTGAGGTTCTTGTTAGTGAGATGATACAACTAAAAATAAATTTACTCTCTCAAAACCATGGCCTTTTTAAATGGCAGTGCAATCAGAAAAAGTTTCATGTTGATAATGGGGGGTGGGAGGGAAATCAATGCCGTACTAGATGAATTCTGACTCATTTTTGGCTATACTTGTTCTTGAAAAATGGAATAAGGCCCTGATCCAGAAAAGCATATGTGTAGCTTTTAAAACCACGAATAGTTCCAGGTACTTCAGTAGGACTACTCATGTACTTAGAGCTACACACATGCTTAAGTGTTTTTTGGGAGCAGCCTAGCTGTGTAAAATAAAGACTATGTGGCCAAATTTACAGGGCCTAAACGGAGGATGAAAATGATGCAGTCAGGTGGAGGTGCTCATGCCCACCAAAACACACACCTTTGCATATGTAAATAGGTATTTATATGAATCAGCACATTTCACTGATGAACAATATAGAATTTAGGCCTCATTCATGGAAAGCCTGACCCAGTGTCTTATCCTTAGGAGATAAATTTTGCTTAATCCCATTTAGCATATCTGCAGGTCTAAACCTATCGCCTCCCCACATAGGGAACCCTAAGGGGTTGTAGCCATGAGATGTAGGTCATGCTTAGTTGCCAAGCTGTCATGCTCATATAAAAAACACTTTATGATTCTCTGTGCAAATCCCATGTACACCAGCTTTGCACAGGGAAACAATTTGTCCTTTTGTGTTGTGAATTATTTAAGCCAAATTTAGAGTGAGAGAAGCAAATGTAAATTGGCCATTGTTAGCCTTGAGCTGTGATCATGGGCAATTCTTTTCCATCTTAATATTTGTATGCACTCAAAAAGCTGCTAAACATGAAGGGATGAAAAGATCTAATAGAGACCATGGTTCTTGAGATATTGGTGTGGGCCATTCCCTTGTTACGGAACAAATGCCTTGAAAACCTTAGTTATGGAAATGAACCTTAGAAAACGAGGTTCTTTTGTTGCCTTTTTTTTCATATTGCACTTAGAAATCAGAGGACCAAAGGACTCAGTGGATTGCTAATGGAAATACAGATCCTTTCACCTCCACAATGCCAGTGCCAATGTGGTTCAGCTTGTGACTGAGGGCTTGTCTATACTTAGAGCGGTGAAGCTGTACTGGTGCAGCTGTGCCACTGCTGCACTTAGTAAAGACGCTACCTACGCTGACGGGGAGCTTCTCCCATCAGCATAACTACTCCACCTCCCCGCGAGGCAATAGCTATGTTGACAGGAATAATGTAGACCAGGCTAAAACTAGCATCAGCTGTTCTTTGACTTACTTGGCAAGCCCTAGTTCAGTTCCTAACAAACATCACAAAATCCACTATCAAAACTGGTGTGAATTATCATCACTACCAGAGTCCTAAGGTTGGTTGGTTATAGAGACTGAGGTGGTCTCCAGAAATGGTCCCTTCACAACGTAATTGAGACACAGTGGAGTAGGGGGAGGATCTGGGGGCAAATCTGTACAGCCACTATCCATGCCTTATCTTTGTAAATAGTTGACTTCAGTCTCCTGGACTATCAATCAGGCATCTTTGTCCAAAACTAAAGTTAATTTAAAAATCCTGCATCAGAAAAGGAATGAGCAATAATCATAATGTATCTATAACCAGGTTACTAATTCAGTACTGCTGTTGTGTGTGACAGATGTGGCAATAAATAAAATGTTGCTAAATATCTGAACTATTTGTTACTTTCAAATGCAATATATCTGGAACTGTGTCAACATTTAATACAAGGCATTTTTATTTTAAGTTAATAACCTTCCAATGAGAATTTAGTGTTCCTATGGGCTGAGTTTTATGGTTCCTTTTATGGGATCACTTCAAGTTATAGGTTGGTGAACTTAAAGAAACCCCTCTAAAGAATGCAGGAAAAATCTAATGCAAAGCTGATTTAGGGTAAAATAATTGTTTGTAGGAGCATTTTATTTAAACTTTTACATTCAAATATAAAATGAAGTTAGTTGTACTGAGCTATTCCTTTCAAAAGTGGATTTGCTTGTTAATTTTAGGCCCACTCCATCAGTTGATCCAGGCATATGGGCCTCAATGGGAATTTTATATGTGGGACATAGGCCAGTTGTCTCAATCACGTTGTCTTCAATATTGCTGGTGGAAATGGAAAGTTATAGCAATTCCTCTTACGGGCTGATTGTGTTGTTGATATTTCTGTTAAGGTCAAAGCATCAATCCCAAACTGGCTGGTCTTATTGGAAGACATGGGCCACAAAATAAGCAGCCTTTCACGGTAGCATTCTTCAAAGCCACAGAAGTGCATCTCCGCAGTATTCGTTCCACGGGAGGCAAACAAAGGAGCCAGAATCGATCGAAAACACCAAAAAACCAGGAAGCCTTTCGGGTATCTAACATTGCAGGTACAGTGAAGGCTGCGAAGTCAGGTTTTCTGGGTACTGGATAATTCTGTATTGTTTTGTAGAGACTAGAATGAAACAATATTGTGCTCAAGCAATACGCTCTCTTTTTCTCTTGTATATTCAGCATCATCCAAATGTTTGTCTGTCACTGGCTTAAAGACTAGAATGTTTTTTTTTACTAAATGTTTCTTGGAAAAATGCTGATTGGTCATAACCAAATTTTTTTTTGTAGGAAAAGGTCAGTTTTCACAAATTTCTTGACAAACTATTTTTGAAATAGGCTAGTTATAGTAAAAATAAATAAATAAATAAAAACCCATGGTCAAAATACAATATGATGGGGGCTAATTTAGCTACAATGAATCAGGAAAAAGATCTTGGAATCATTGTAGATAGTTCTCTAAAGACGTCCACGCAGTGTGCAGAGGTGGTCAAAAAAGCAAACAGGATGTTAGGAATCATTAAAAAGGGGATAGAGAATAAGATGGAGAATATCTTATTACCCTTATATAAATCGATGGTACGCCCACATCTTGAATACTGCGTACAGATGTGGTCTCCTCATCTCAAAAAATGATATACTGGCATTAGAAAAGGTTCAGAGAAGGGCAACTAAAATGATTAGGGGTTTGGAATACGTCCCATATGAGGAGAGATTAAAGAGGCTAGGACTTTTCAGCTTGGAAAAGAGGAGACTAAGGGGGGATATGATAGAGGTATAAAAGATCATGAGTGATGTGGAGAAAGTAGATAAGAAAAAGTTATTTACTTATTCCCATAATACAAGAACTAGGGGCCACCAAATGAAATTAATGGGCAGCAGGTTTAAAACAAATAAAAGGAAGTTCTTCTTCACACAGCGCACAGTCAACTTGTGGAACTCCTTGCCTGAGGAGGTTGTGAAGGCTAGGACTATAAGAGCGTTTAAAAGAGAACTGGATAAATTCATGGAGGTTAAGTCCATTAATGGCTATTAGCCAGGATGGGTAAGGAATGGTGTCCCTAGCCTCTGTTTGTTTGTCAGAGGGTGGAGATGGATGGCAGGAGAGAGATCACTTGATCATTACCTGTTAGGTTCACTCCCTCTGGGGCACCTGGCATTGGCCACTGTCGGTAGACAGGATACTGGGCTGGACGGACCTTTGGTCTGACCCAGTACGGCCGTTCTTATGTTCTTAATAGAAACAATGTTTCAATTGACCTGAACCGAATTTTAGATTTTCAAAATTTTGAGATTAAATATTAATTTGGCCAGAGAAAGTCAATTAAAGTGGAACAAATATGGATGAAAAGTCAATCTCACTCTATAGCCCAGTGGTTACAATACTCACCTAAGAGATGGCAGATCCCCATTTACATCCTTTCCCAGCAGGCAAAGAGGGAACATCAACCAGGGGGGACTCCCGCCTCCCAGGTGAGTGCTCAACCACTGGGCTACAGGGAGGTCCCCTCCTTCCCTGGCTGTTTTATGTAGATCTTGGCAGCCTCTGAGCACACCTACCACACTGGGCCACAAATGCTAGTTGTAGAAGAATGCCCATGTGCCCCTGGTTTGTGAATCCCTCTGGGGCTTGAGGGGAGACAGGTGTCTGGACCCCTAGTTGGCAGCTGTAGCATGCATGCTCAGGAGCAGAAACATAGGCACCTAGGGAACTTTTAATGCAAAAGTTTAGGTGGCGAGTGAGCTTATGCCCCAACAGCAGCTGAGTAAGAGTTTTGAGAATTGCAATGGCACCTGAAAATGGGACTTATATGTCTAAGTCTGGGGGTGAGGTACCTAAGTACCCTTGTGGATCCTGCCCAATGGGTCAACAGTCAGAACTTGTGATGCATCGGATAATAGATTCCAGCTCATTCTCCCATGATTCTATTGCTTTTGCAGGACTAACAGGTCAGCAGCAGACAGTACTCAAAGAAAATACAGAGATGTTAAGAGGGTGCCACTCTTTAGAGTCACTTTACTCTTCTTATTCTCTAGAGGTTCTTATACCAAGCTCATCACTGTGTATGTGAGAGAGCCTTCCTGGGTCTCTCGCTGCGTTCTCTTGCCATACAGTAAAGGCAGGATGAAAATAGATTTTGTTTTGCAAACTAGCCCTGAAAAAACAATTCCCAGGGCTTTCTTGGCTTTGCGTAGAAACCAGATGGACATTTTATATTTATTGAATCCAGCCATTTTTTCACTATTAAAATACAAGAAACTGAAACAGCTAAAAGAAAGTGACAAGTGCTGTAAAGCAGTGCATGGCTCCAGAAAGGGAGCCACACCACATTCCCCATCGCAATGCTGCCAAAGGTGTCCGTGCTGGGGAGCTTCAGTCTTTGAGGGATTAATCTTAACGGGCCTGGCTTTCAGCTGAAAATTGCACTGAAACATCCAGTTGGACAACACAATCTCACTTGATGGTTTCAATTTTTTTCACCCCTACACCCTCCTCCCCCGCCTCAGAAAACAGCAGCAGTGATCAGCGGCAAGCCTGCAAGAAACACGAACTTTATGTCAGTTTCAGAGATCTTGGCTGGCAGGTAAGGTTTCTGTGCTCAGGCTTGAGAGAGACATGATGCCTTTTCAATCATTTGTCATTTACTAGTAGCGTTCACTCATGGACCACATTTTTAGCCTCTGATTAGGTGTGTAAATGTCTGTGCTTACAAGAATGGGTGTGCATTCACACACGTTAATTCACTGCCCTTTGCATACACAAAAGGGGGTGTTTGCCTGTGTGTTGGCACAACTGATTGCATGCACAAAAGGGGATGTGCAAATTGGAGGCTAGTTTAAGAGTGGCTGAAAATTTGATAATCCCCACAGCTTTATGGCTAATTTTAAATTCAGAGCATTACTTTCTGGCCCTATAAACTCCTTCTGTAGTTTCAACTGGACACAGTGTTCTTCACTTTCTACTGAATAATTCCTTTAGACACTGGTAAACAGCTCCTACTTTTCACACTGGAGGTAGCTGCCTTCCAATAGTGGATGAAGTGATCCTTCTGCTATATACAAAGTATTCTCTTTGTAAAGTGCTGTGGGATCCTTCAGGATAAACAGGTGCTGCAGACAGGTTAAGAATTGATCATATTGTTAGAGCAGCTAGTTTAACAGGAGACTTTTTCATGATTTTTTGACTGCCTGCATGTATTTGAATTGATTGAATAGTGTACAATGAAATTAAATCCATCTTTTCTCCATGATTTAACATCAATTTAATCCAGGACTGGATAATTGCTCCAGAAGGCTATGCTGCATATTACTGTGAAGGAGAATGTGCCTTCCCATTGAACTCCTACATGAATGCTACAAACCATGCTATTGTACAGACACTGGTAAGTGCAATTTAAGTTGAATAATGAAGGCTGTTAACTATGATCAATACTTCACTGGAATAATTTTGTGCAAGCAAAACCCTCAGAACTAGCCCGAGAAGGAAGGTCTGCGTTAGCTCATAATGCCTTCAGCATCTGGCTAAACAGGTCTAGCGGAATGGCCTGAATTAATAGTTGGCCTGGAAGTAATCTCTTTGTTGCAAGCATTAACATGCTCCATGCGTGTAGAGGGGCCCTAGATGTAAACACAAATGGCACAGTCCCACTGCTCCAGAGGGGAAGAGCAGGAATGGAGGGCCCCCCAAGTAGGGGGGAGGGGGTCAGCCTCCCTTGCACAAAATTCCCTGAAGATCCATTGCATACAACTGCAGGGAGTGGATTAGGGAGGGGCCTCTAGAGCTGTAACAATACAGATTAGCCCTACTTCTGCTTTCTTTCCCATATGGATGGAGAGTAGAGTGGGGTGGAGGATTCCTTGATCTCCCAAGTATAGTCCAGTTAGTGGGCGTGTTTGCCTGTTCCCAACAAAGTGCATGAAGGACCTGCTCTAAAGCCCATTGAAGCCAAGGGAGTCTTTTTCATTGGCTTCAGTGGGCTTTGGAGCAGGTCCCAAGAGTAGATGAAGAGGAATAGCTGCAGGATCTTAACTCTTCCCGATTTAAATTGGCAAATAAACAGTGCCATCAAGTATCACAACCCTAGATAACTTCCACCTGTTTGTAACAAATGAGAGCTTCACCACTCTTCCCTAGCTGCGTAGCTACAAGACTCCAGGAGTCTAACTGGCTAGAAATGCAATTGAAACTAGAGGTTTTTTGTTTTGTTTTTTAAATTTTTATAATTTAATTTGCCCAAGTTTTTTTTTGCAAGGGGAACATTCAGACAAGTTAAAAATGTGCAGAGTCCCCCATCACTTCCCCTTCCCCCCATCCAGTTCTAGTTGAAACTCATCTCCAAGACCCTACAAAAGGCTGAGCTTGATTCAAGTTTGGGGTCAGAGCTATTTTAAAACTAATCAGTTTCCCCAAATTTATTGGTGATAGGCTCTTCTGCCCCCACTCCCTTACGACTACTGTTTATCCTCTCCAGCACAGGGTTGCAGCAATACGGAAGAAGCATGCACTAAAGTCCTTCCTGTATCCAGTGCTCGACTATCCGCTGGACATAGAAAGGACTTCAGTGTCTAGGCCTGTCAGCTGACTAGATTTCATCAGCACCACCCTTCCAAGGAAAAAAACCCAAGAGGCAGCAGATCTTCCCGATTTAGGCATGCCCAAGTGTGCCTGTGAATTTCACCTTGTGTGCGTACAATGAGGTATTTGTGTACACAAGTCAGTGTGCCAAAGGCACACATGCAAGTTGCAAGGTTTGCCCAAAAAGAGGGGGGGGAAAAATAATCTTAACATTGTTTCCTTTCCCCTCCCCCAGGTTCACTTTATAAACCCAGAGACTGTGCCGAAGCCATGCTGTGCTCCTACACAACTCAATGCCATCTCAGTGCTCTATTTTGATGACAGCTCCAATGTTATCTTGAAAAAATACAGGAATATGGTGGTACGGGCATGTGGCTGCCATTAGGTTTGCAGGAACGGGGGGGAAAAAAGTGGCTGTAAAGAGCGTTTTTATATGGATTTGCAAAGAGATTTAAGTCTCCTGCATTGGACTGCCTTTAAAAAAAAGTTTGTAGGGACCATGCTTCTGAAGGTGCACAATTAACAGGAGATAGTGGAACAAATTCTGGATTCCAAATGGCATTTGAGTCAAGTTTGTTTTAGCTTATTATAGACATGATTCTGCAAACCGGTGCAAAGTGAAACAAGCCAGAGGAACCATTTAAAATCAAACCCGTCCAAAATAATTGCTCTTACTTCTGCAAATGAGCCTTTCAGAAGATAGCTAACTCACCAGTGTTGATTGTGAACATCTTTTTTAAACAAATCCATCCAGGGTGAGAATCTGGTGTGTTTATGCACAAAGTAATAAACATTTGTTGTTCCTGTAATAACTTGTTCACAATAAAATGTGCCTGGAAAAAGATATATTTTGTTAAAGAATTACCTCCAACCCTTGCTTTATCCAGCTTCATAATCAGGAGAAAAAGACTAAGTACATGCACTTCCAGTATTAAATTTTGCACTAGCAAAAAGTATCTGGATTGACTCAAATTAAAAAGGACAAGTAAGTGTAGAAATGTCTTTTGGAATTGAAAGAATTGAAGAAAATAACTCCAAAGAACAAGATTATCTTGATATATATTTTCTATGTCTGGGATAATATCTATTTCAACTACCAACAAGAATTTGCATTTAGTATGGACTAAAACAGCTAAAAGCAAAATTTAAATAATAGCGAATAAAGCCCCAAAGCAGTTTTGTAACCCAACTTGGACATCTCAAACACTTACGAGGTTATGAAAGGCAAGCTCAAAATCCTGCTCCCACAGGAAAAATACCCATTGATTTCAATGGGTGCAGATCAGGCTCCTGGAATTTTGCAAGTCTGTAGGCTTGATCCTGTGAGGAGATGAAAGCCAAGGATGGTGCTGAATGAACACCCAGCACTATGCAGGATCAAGTCCTTAATAGGGAAAAGAAACCATGACATTTGTAAGCCTGGTTCCCTGGGTCTGTATTTTCTGGGTGACTCCTATCTTACTGTCAGTTTCATCTGTAGTAAGAAAACTGCTTGGCTCCATGAATAAGTAACTGCTCTTTTATTTTTAAACCACAGTTGAAATCCAGACCGGATGCTTTCCTCTTTTTAAAAGGAAAAACACAACAAACAAACAAGCCAAAAAGCTCTATACGAAATGAATTGGAGCTTGTTTCTTTGGACCCAAGTCTAATTCCATTGTAGTAGATCTGAGTTTTACCACTGGATTTCCAATAGCAGCAGGATTAGGCTGTTGAGGAATAGGAGGAGTCTCATGGGCCTTGGATCAGGCCCTTGAACACCAGTCAGCATTACCAAATGCATCACACTTATCTACAATGGGAATCAAGAGTCTGACTTGGCTCTAACCCTTCTTACACCAGATTTAACTGAAATCAGGATCTGGCCCAATATTTACTACGTCACGTTCCAAAATGGTGGCTGAAATATTCTTTCAGCCTTTTCTGAGAAGTCCTTAGATGAACTGTCAAAGAGAAATGGTTGGGCTGCAACTGCCTCAGTGTGTCCATTGTTTTAAAGGAGAGATGCATAAAGGCCTACAAATCATAAATGCCACTCAATGTTGTATGTATATCAGCCACCAATGCAACATATTCTAGATGTCTGTGAACCTTGTACAGGGAGTTACGGTGCTACCAATAAAGTTAAGATTGGATGGTCCGAGCTGATTATTTTTTAATGTAGTCAAGGTTGAGTTTGCTACTAGTGCCCCAAAGTACTAGTATATTGCAATTCAGTCCTGACTACCCTCTCTCTCTGTACTGGATCCATATATTATATATATATATATATATATATATATATATATCCTGTGGTATTTTTTTGTTTGTTTGTTTTAAACATGACTACAGGATCTCTGTTGCTAGGCTAGACATCAATTCCATTGTTTTGTACATTTTTATGTAAATAATTGTCACAAAAGTGGGAAAAATTTATTTATTTCCATCTCTGAATTCCTTTTCAATCACGCATTCAGGAAATTGATTCTCATCTCTTCTAAACACATTTGTTTCCTTATTTAAGAAAATATTTATTAACAGTTGGCAAAATACATGTACACATTTCTGGTTCTTTTCATAGAGCAGTTGTTAGAAGCATTTTGTACAAACTAGTTGAATAAATCATTGTGACTTTACAAAAGATATTCCAACAACTTTGTGCATGTGTGATTATTCCCACTAAATCTAAAGGGTATTTTGTTGCGAGTAATATTTCATGGTGAGTGTCAGCTATTCTGCAACAGTGCTTCCATGTCCACTAGTTTCTGTACATTGGCATCATGGGCACATGGTCAAAATCTGCTGCAGCTGCCAAAGTATAAATACAGTAGAGGGGAAAACAAAAATATGAATATATTTTGCAGGCTGCATTGCAAAGATCCATGATTGAATTATAGTGCAGCTGTCAGCAGCTGTTTCAAAGAAGCAGGGGGTAAATTAGTTCTGTTTACTGCTAACATAGTTCAGAGTTTAGTCATCCCAATAAAATTATAGAGGCACAAGAAAGGGAAAAAAAAAACCATCAGCCAAGAAACTGACATTTTCTAATTGAGATTGTTTTAACATATTTCAGAGATGCTGCTGGCATGAGGTTTCCTACTATTGATACCACACTGCATTGCAATGGAGGTTACTGGGTTCTTGTTTACTTTGAACTATGTGCAGCATGATGCCAGCTTATCTAAATACATTTGCTGGCCTGTTGGATGAAATCACTAAGATCTTGAAATAAACGACCATCTTCCAGAGAGTATCAGAGGGGTAGCCGTGTTAGTCTGGATCTGTAAAAAGCAA